TTAAACTGTGTTTCATATAAACAATTGTGTATTAATTGAATACATTATGAGTAATAGAGTTTCAGGTAGAGCGCCCCTCGAAGTCTCCGCCACTACCAATGAGAGACAACCGTTGCCGACACTCCAATGGACGAGAAACAGACGTCAACGAGGGGTTAAGCTCTTCAATATTACATAACTTATATAAAATACTCACAAATTTCACATTGGCTTATTTCACTGCCTTATCACAACCTCTCAAATTTTAAAATAATTATATAGTGTTAATTAATTTTTAAGATTAATTTATTATACAATTTAAGAAAATTTTATATTTTTATAATTATTTGTAATTAATTAAATTTTATTTAGATAAACATTAAGTGTTACTTTATATAATAATATAAACAATTATATTAATTGCATTTAATATTACAATTGATTTTGCTGTACTGTAGTTATAATTGAAAACAAATTTAATTAATAATTTTCAATACAATTATCTTTTAATTGAATGTAAGTTTTGTTTTTATCTGTAATATGAATGGACTCTAATCTATCACTTGTGCTAAACATTGCCTTCAAATCGCGTTCATTAACATGTATTAAAGGCGTCGATCGTATGATAATAGTCTTGAGTTTTGGTAAATTTGTAATAAAATTAAAATTAATATCATTGATATGACTGTAATTGGGAACTTTTATATTGTTAATTGAAAGGTATTTAATATTTGGGAATATATCACAGATTTTCTTCATTAATTCATTGTCTAATTGCCACAAATCTAGTGATAAATGTGTTAATTGTGGCAAACATTGCATTGAATCCAATGGTGACCAATTAACCATATATTTAAAACTATTTAAATTAAGCCGAAATAGTTTTAGGCTTTTATATGTTTGTAGAGAAGTCAATACATTAAGAGGTATATTCGGATCATATGTTGATATTGACAGCGAAAATATTTTTAATTTATTAAGATTAAAACCAATATCACCTAAGAAGTAATATAAATCGTTTGAATGCAATATATTTATACCACAATCGAAATAAAGTGATAATTTATGCAATTCCTTTAAATGTATTAATTGTGTCATTAATTCAATCACATCCTCAACGCATTCCCTATCAGATATATGAATAACCGTTAGATTTGCCAAACATTTCATATTTAATACGAAAATACGAAATAATTTATAATTAAATCCAAACGACCAGTTGAACTCAAATTTAGTCAAATAGTTAATAATTAAATTGTTTTTCCCATCAAATATATTATCCATTAAATTTAGTTTAAGTCCTGATAATCGGTGACAATAAGACAATAATGAAAAATCAAAATTATCATAATCTTGTCTAACATTACTATCAATACGAAACACATCTAAATATATAATTATTTGACCAAACATTTGAAACATTTCTGTGCAATCAATTGTGTTGAGTGAGACATTAATCTCATTGAGTTTCGGCCAATTATCTCGCATTGCATTCATTGATACAAATAATGAATTAAATTTTTATTATGAATAACACGTGTTGTGTCGACACGTGTTATATTCGGACATTTTGTCATTAATATATGCAAATAATTTGAAGTGAAATATTTTATACCAAAAATGTTTTCTTCACTCAATTTCTCCATCAGTTTGTCGTCGATATGAATGTCCGTAAGTGTTGTGTAAACCAAAGTCTGAAACCATTTGGAGAGGCGTTCAAAATAAAAGCGTTCTTCGAGTGGGAGATAACTGACGATCACTTCAACCAATTCTTTGCCAAACCTTTCCATTGAATCTCTTTTTCTTTCCATAATTTCCGACATTTTTCTATTCAATTCCTAAATAAAGTTTTATACAAAATGAATGCTCTAAAAATTATTTATAATAATATAAATGCATTATTGAATACCATTCATAAAATTACATTATTTCATTTAACAAATTAATACCAACATGCTTTTATTTGAGCTACAAAACATATTACATTTTGTAAAAATAATGACCAATTTATTAATAATATAAAACCATTAATAATCAAGTATAATATGTACATTGTATGAATATTTTTACTAAAAATTCATTCTTATCAACTTTACTTAATTTTACAGTATCAGTACTTATCCGATCATAATGTATTAAATATATTCAACTTTGACATTAACTTACAACTGGGCTATGTTAATATAAATAATTATAATGTTTATATAATAAAGATCAGAAATTATTATTTGATATTAACCGATCATCGTTTATTATATTTATAGATAAATACATTTTAAAAATTATTATTAACATTTTCGTATCAAACATACTGTAAAATAATTTCTATTTGATGTATAATCATTGGGTCTGGTTATTAAAATATACTTTTGGCTAAATCTCAAAGACAACACTTTTATAAATAAATTTAAAATGTTAAATATATTTTCACCAATATATAATTATATAAATGTAAATTTTACTATTAAATAAATTTATCGAATAAATATTATAAGGTAATATTATAAAATCGAAATATTATCTGATTAACTTGATTACTTACTTTAATTATAAATTCAATTTAAAAACATTTGTTAAAACTTTTCAACAAAGGCTTTATTTTTAGAAAATCATAATAATTATTGACATTATATTATTACTAAATTACAACTTATAATCAACCCCGGTAGGATATGTGGCCGCCGAGGCAATACCACATTGGTTATTTTTATTGCGGTACATTTTGATATAACCCGCGTCACCCCATGTGGTGTCCCACGAGTTGCGGACCAACCAGTAATCCCTACCATTATCACTGCCATAGCCCACAACAGTCACACCATGATCAAGGTCTTCCATTTTCTCAAAGCACAGGGGCTCGTCATAAACACCCGACTCATACATCTGAAAAGTCTGGTATTGGGCGTCGATGGCCACCGCAATGGGCCCTATGGTTGCCACCGCCTCCCGGAGCGCCTCCTCGTCACCCATCGGGACGTTAGTGTAGTTTTTAACGGTCGCCGCCCTATTGGCCGCGTTGTAAGCGCACGGGTATACTGTTTGGCCGTCGTATAGGTGTTTGTACCCATAGGAGGCCTCTGTGTCCACACCTCCCTGTGCTATGATATACTCGTACGCGTAGTCCATAAGACCCCCACCGCAGCCATTGTTACCCTGTGTTGCGCTGCAATCGACCAGATTTTCTTCCGATAGAGTGACCAGTTTTCCCGTTTTGCGGGCCAGTTGTCCCTCAAGTGAGGCGATCGCTGCGAATGCCCAGCACGAGCCGCACTTGTATGTAATTTTATATATTAATTATTTAAATTAATTTATGATCAAAATAACAAATTAAATTATAAACACATTTAAATAAAATTTTTACAAGATTATTAAATATATACATTTTTGCTGACCTTCATGGAAATCTAGCAATTTCATTTTGTTCACTTAATGTTGAATAAATTTAATTTTACATCTTGATTCATATTTACTAGACTAATATTATTAAACTAAACTTAATATTATTAATGTAAACTAAAACTATTAGATAATTTGTTCATATAAAGTATACTTTATATAATTAATATAGATAATAATTTTTAAGACTACCTAAATTAAATTGTAAATTATATACTAAACTTGATTATATTTTTATACAAACATACATTCCCTTGATTTTTAACGGGCGCTACAATGCCTTTGTCTCTCCAGTCGACACTCGCGGGTAAATTGTCGGCCTTAACGGACCGCGCGGTACGGGTGTTGACTGATTTGGCGGGCGGTCGCGGGTGGGCTCTAAATCCGTTGACCATTTGCTTGTATTCGTCGGCAGTCATGTCCGCGAACTGATTGACACCCAATCGGTACGAGTGTTGGCCCGCATTGGCCTCAGAGTTGTGTTTAACAATCAGCCGATAGTTGGCCTCAAAAGTCTGCCGCCGTTTGTCCTCTTCAACAGAATTGACATCAAATTTAGTGTTATTACGGAATTGGAGCTAAAATAGTATGTATTGTATTATTTAATAATTCATCTAGAAATATTAATAGTAAATCTGGTTTATTATACCTTAAATTGTTGCCATTGTATCTCAATTTCATCCTGGCTAATTGACTGAGCGCTGACCATCAGAGCACTCATAGCCAATGATAATATACACAATATGTTCATTTTATTCTAATTATGACTAATATTATTTTTAATTAAAATTTTAATAAATTCAATTAAATCATAAATAATGGTTAAATAAATTTATATGCCAAACTTATATACTATTGGTTTTATTAACTACATGGATACAAACAATTGATAGAAACAGAATATTATCAAAGAATTACAAACCACCGTGGTACTATTTATGATTTAAATCATTCTCAGAATTAATTAATGTGTCAGAACATTTTTAATCCGTTAATCTCATAAGACCGTTGATCCTATTAAAACGCTTATGGTCTCTACCCCACAAGATTTCAAATTAATTAATTAATCTTGATAATACTGTATTATTATTTACAATTTTATCATTTTAAGAACAAAATTTATAAATAGTTTTACCATAAATACAATAAGAAAGGTAATTAACAGATTCTGATTTTCTTATCATAATGCTAGTTCATAGAAATATATTGATATTGGCACATTGTATGTCTCCCAACTTAGTCAGAACATTTGATAGATCAAGTGCATTTGTTATTCTTATATTACATAAAAAATATCTACATGTCTAGTATATTGTCCCTTAGTGTGTAGTTCAAAGATATATCCTGTGGGGTTACACATTTCGTTTAAGTATTTTATCTAGAAACATTTCTCGAAATGCTGCAAATTCTTGATAATAATCATCTCATAAAATTAGAAAATTTATATAAATAGCTCATTTAATACATTTATAAAATTAATTATTTAGAATTGACTAAAACAATAATAATGGCACAATTTTATGTGTGTAAGTAATATTTTAAAAATTTATTCATTAGGCTAAATATGTGTTAAATTAAATATTATAAATTACTAATTAAATTAAATAATTTACTAGATTTAGCAATTATTACAATCGCTATAACCGTAGGGCAGTTGGAGGCCAACGGGTGCTCAGACCTAACACTGCCCGACAACTGGCGGTGCACTGAACTGGAGGTTAACCCCAACCCAACGGCACGTCTGGACACCCGTACGCTATACTGTGGCGGCGATCGTGAGGTGGACTTAACCGCCGTTTTTGTCGATATTAGCCGACAATTAAACGGCAAAAAGAAAACGTTTGAAAACTTTTACTTAAACAACACTCGCGTTAAACAACTGAATGCCAATACTTTCGGTGATATTGTGTTTCACAACGTGTTTATCGCCGACGCTCTGAGTCTCGAGTCGATAGCCGGCGACGCTTTCGGCGCCCATTTGGCCGACAAAACCTATGGCGTAAACATATGGCGTAACCCTAAGCTCACCGGTGATAGCCTGTGGCAGGCGTTGAGTAGTCTAAAAGCGGCGGCATTTGTTCAACTTATTGAGAATGGGTTCACAGAAATACCGGCCAATGCTTTCGGTACGGCCGCAGCCAATAATAATTTACAAATATTGCAAATTTCCGGCAAACATATCCGTAAAATAGGCGACAATGCATTCAAACCGTTAACAAAACTCATTAGTCTTACTATTGAAAACACGACAATTACAGAGATTTCCGACAATACGTTTGCATTCAATGAAAATACTAATACAAATCCAATAAATATCGTGTTGTGGGCCAACCCTGAGCTCAAACTAGACTCACTTCCCGTCGGGTTTTTGAAAAGCCAGAGCCGGTTGACTGAGTTGTCACTCGCGAGCAGTTATTTCCGGGACTCACGGCTCCGGTATTTGGATGAGAGAGTGTTTCGACCCTTTCTTGAGGTCAATCACAGCAATCAGATCGATGTCGACGACCGGGCCTTTGACTGTAAGGACGCTCGCAATCAGTGGTTAATCACCAGTGGATTAGTTAAGAGATTATTTTGGACCAAATGTTGAATGATTAAGAGTCTAAAGTTTTCTATTTAATTTTTAGATAAAAGTTGCTAACAATATACTTAATGTTAGCATTGTTTTATTTAATTACAATAATTTTATAAAATAAACACAAATAATATAATTTTTAATAATCAAAATTTTTTATTCAAAAGTATACATATATTAATTTTTAATTTGGTCAATTTTAATAAACAAAATTTAATTAATGATTAAAAAATAAAGTATAATTTTATATATTAATTAATAATAAATTGTGTCACTTGACCTGCCGTTCCAGTAAATCCAGTTTCCATAACTAAATGGTATGTTATTTATAACCAAATTATTGTTTCGGATTTGAATACAAGATTTGTTTTCTCCTGTGATATGAATGGACTCTAATCTATGACTTGTGCTAAACATTGCCTTCAAATGGCATTCATTAACACGAATACCAATCGCTTCCCGTATTTTCAATGTCTTCAGTAGACGTAGTCTTGAGATGAGATCCAAATTAATGTCATTTATATATCGATAACTTAAATCGAAAACATTAAGTGATTTAAGATTTGGTAAAATAGTACTGATTTTCACAATGAATTGATTGTCAATTTGCCACAAATCCAGTGATAAATGTGTTAATTGTGGCAAACATTGCATTGAATCCAATGCTCGCCAATCAGTCACTTCGAGTTCATTATTACTCAATAAAACAAGTCTAAGATGTCTTAATCGTTGAAACGTTTCCATCGCTATGAAAGTACTTATACTTATGGTGTGATAATAGGCCCAAACCCTCAATGAAAATGTTTTTAAATTTATTAGATTTAAACCAATTTTTCGCAAAGAGTCCGACAATAAATAATAAAGATAACCACCTAGATCAAAATGTAGTGATAATTCACGCAATTCTCGTAATTGTAGTAATTGTGTCATAAATTCAGTAATTTTTTCACGATATATATCAGTGACATTGATTTGATTGACACGAAGACATTTCAAACTTATCATATTTGAAACAAAATTAGAAAACAATTCAACATTTAATTCGTTATAAGAATGAAATTCAAATTTTGTCAAATTGTTTAACCATAAGTTATTTTTATCAAATATTATATCATATTGTGATTGAACTTTAAGTTGTGATAATCGGTGACAATAAGACAGTAAAGAGTGATCAAAGTTAACGTTTTGCCCGTCAGTATAATTATTGGTATCACTTGTTTCCAAATAAGTAATCTCTGGACCAAACATTTCAAACACTAATTTCCTTTGATTTAAATTAATTGTCTCTAATTTTAGACATATATTCTTTAGTTTCGGCCAATTGTCTCGCATTTCATTCATTGACACAAAAAAATAAATTAAATCCTTGTTTTGAATAACACGTGTTGTGTCGACACCTGTTATATTCGGACATTTTTTCATTAACTTTGATAACTTTTTTGAAGTGAAATATTTATTACCAAAAATGTTTTCTTCGCATAATTTCTCCATCAGTTTGTCGTCGACATCGATGTCCGTAAGTGTTGTGTAAATCAATGTCTGGAACCGTTTGGACAGACATTCAAATGGGAACCGATCTTCGAGTGGGAGATAACTGACGATCACTTCAACCAATAAACACGAATACCAATCGCTTCCCGTATTTTCAATGTCTTCAGTAGACGTAGTCTTGAGATTAGATCCAAATTAATGTCATTTATATATCGATAACTCAAATCGAAAACATTAAGTGATTTAAGATTTAGGAAAATATCACTGATTTTGTCAATCGCTTGATTGTCAATTTGCCACAAATCTAGTGATAAATGTGTTAATTGTGGCAAACATTGCATTGAATTCAATGCTCGCCAATCAGTCATTTGTTGTCCATTATTACTCAACAATACAAGTCTGAGAGGAGTTAATCGTTGATACGTTTCCATAGCCAGTAAAGCACTTATACTTATGGTGTGATAATAGGCCCAAAAACTCAATGAAAATGTTTTTAAATTTTTTAGATTTAAACCAATTTCTCGCAAAGAGTCGGACAACGAATAATGGAGATAATCACCAAGGTCGAAATGTAGTGATAATTTACGCAATTCTTGTAATTGCATTAATTGTGTCATAAATTCAGTAATTTTATCACGATATATATCAGTGACATTGATTTGATTGACACAAAGACTTTTCAAACCCATCATCTTTAATATAAAAGTGGTAAACAATTTAATATTTAATAAGTTATAGAAATTAAATGCAAATTTACTCAAATTGTTCAACCATAAATGGTTTTTATCAAATATTGTAGCATTTGACTGGACTTTAAGTTGTGATAATCGGTGACAATAAGACAGTAACGAGTGCTCAAAATAAACATTTTGTACATCGTTGAAATTATTAGTATCACTTATTTCCAAATAAGTAATGATTGGACCAAACATTTTAAAAACTAATTTATTTTGATTTAAATTAATTGCTTCTAAATTTAATAACAGATTATTGAGTTTCGGCCAATTGTCTCGCATTTCATTCATTGACACAAATAATTGCATTAAATACTTATCTCTATCAACACGTGTTGTGTCCACACGTGTTATATTCGGACACTTTTTCATCAATTTTGATATTTTTCTTGAACTGAAATATTTAATACCGAAAATGTATTGTTCACTCAATATCTCCATCAGTCTGTCCGTAAGTGTTGTGTAAATCAATGTCTGCAACCGTTTGGACAGACATTCAAATGCGAACCGATCTTCGAGTGGGAGATAACTGACGATCACTTCAACCAATTCTTTGCCAAACCTTTCGATTGAATCTCTTTTTCTTTCCATAATTACAATATTATTTGTTAATTTTCTAAACAAAGGTTTTATTAAAAATAGTTGGATTTAATATTAAAATATTAATGCAGTCATTAATACCAACATTTTTATTCATTTGCAACACAAAGCAAGTAATTGAATAAATATAAATCTACTAATTTTAAGGGCAAAATCACTGATTTGCAGTAAAAATAAGTGATGCATAAATGAATAATGTTAAAACAATAAACAGGTTACAGTTAGTTAAATGTAATATTTTAACCACAATTCAGTTATGAATAATGTGATTTATTTGGTATAATAATGTATATTATTATTAATATATTAATTATTTATTTTAATTGTATGTTTAAAAAATATAATTAAACT